ACGTGAAAGGCGCTATACAAGTGTAATTTGTCATCGTTGTTGTTGTTCAGCCCTCAAGTCCTCACCAATAACTATAGAGCATTGACTGTCAGAGACAACATGGCGTCCAACACATGTGAAGATCTCTCGGGAGCTGAGCTGATCCTTTGTGATGGTGACATTCCCCTCGTTTGTCGCATTGACAATCGTCTGTCCGACCTTCAGCTGAAGGACAGTGTCTGGCACCCACCAGCCCAGGAGCACATCAACACCAATGCTGTTCCTTTATCTGCTGCTCCGCATGTGATCTGCTGTGTGGGAGCCCCTTGAACAAGGCAAAGACAAACAGTCCAGTTATTGGCTCACCTTGAGTTGTCCCCACCCTCGCCCGGCTCCACTGGCTCCCCATCCCTCAGAGGATACAGTTCAAGATCCTGGTGCTCAGCTTTAAAGCCCTCCATGGCCTCACTCCTCCCTTCCTACCTCTGTGACCTCCTAATCCTGACCAACCGGTCCGCTCCCTCTGCTTAGCGGGCTCCGGCCTGCTCCATGTTCCCCGCCCGCCCATCCCCTTAAGCCTCTCTGCCCCCACCCTCTGAAACTCCCACAATCCCTCTGCCACGCCTCCCTCACCTCCTTCAAAACCTATCTCAAGATCCTCCTCTTCGACAGACCGTGCCTTCGGTCACCCTCCTACACCCATCTCCCTGCCCTCCAACCCTCCTGATAGCAACCCCAGCTCAGATGTGGGTCCCTGACTGTCCAGCGCCTTGAGACATCCTCCTGACGTGAAAACCACTGTGTAAATGTCATGTATTGTTTACACAGTGCCAATTTTGACTGAGATCTAACTCACTGTACACGAGGATTGAAACCTTCTCCGTGTGGCTAATCGTGGTGTAATCATTCTTCACATTGCAAGTGTAATCCCCGCTGTTGTTGAACGTGAGGCTCTCTATAGGCAGCTGTGAGGTGTTGCCGGCAATGACTGTGGTGTTATGTGTCCACCTGTAGTTACACTCTGGGAAACATTTCGTCTGACAGTTGAGCGTCACTAAATCTCCCTCCTTCCCACAGTACTGTCCTGGGACCAAACTGTCACATATCACTTGCCCACTCATATATACTGTGGGTGGATCAGGGCCATCTGAAAGAAAAACATTAAGTGATGACATAGATAGATAAATGGGTGGCAGATGATAGTGTGAGAGAAACAGCCTTTTTACATGTATCACAGACCTCCGACTGTTTGTGGGTCCCTCCTGTGCGCAATTGGCTGCCGTCCCCCGACCCACCCACCCCACCATTGGCGGGAGAGCCTTCAGCCACTCTGCCCCCAACCTCTGTAATCCTATCCCCCAGTCATTCCGCTTCACGCCCTCCTTAGCCTCCTTCAAGTCACGCCTCAAGACCCTCCTCTTCGACCATGCCATCGGCCATCCCCCTTCCCCGCCCCTCCCTTCTCCCCCCCGACACCAGCTCGGGTCTGAAATGCTGTCACTGTCCAGTGCTTTGGGACTCCTCCCGATGTGAAAGGCGCTGTACAAATGTAATCCTGTTGTTGTTGTTGTGTTTCATCCATAAAATATACAGTCAATTCACTTTACAGTATATTCTGTGAAGTGATTTGAGACGTGAGGAGGTGTTTTTTTTGGAGGGGTTAATACATTCGGAAAAGTGATCCGGCAATCGACTAACAAGGGTTCCACTTACTGTTAGGTAAACAACAAAATACAACAACAATAATATTACATTTATAGGCGTCCTTAACGTCGGGAGGACGTCCCAAGACATTGGCGCTGCTAAACAGTGGGGTGTATGTGTGTGGGGGGGTGGGGGTGGCGGCGAGTGTTGGGTGGAGTAATGTACCTGCCTAAGCTTTCGTCCTGACCTGCGCGGGAATCAAACCCAGGTCCTCTCGCTTGATAAGGCGATATATCAAGTGCAAGAATGATTATTATTCTGATGATCATGACTATGATCATTATTATTGTTATTATCTTTACTGTTATTGCAGCTCAGGTCACGTGAGGCTGACTTTGGGTCATGGAGTTTAAAGCGAGTCGGGGTTCCTGCTCCTGGTCCCTAAACTCCCTCTCGGGCTCAGTGTGTGTGTTGCAGTCTGGTGGGGAGATTAGGTTTGTCTGTGGGGCCCTCTACAGTCAAGTGGCCGATTGACACTCAGATAGTGATGGGATCTTTAACCTGAACAGGCAGATAGTTTAACGTCTCATCCAAACAGCGGCTCTTTAATGATAATAACAATAGTGGAGTCCTGTTGCTCAGTGGTTAGAGCATTTGCCTCGTAAGTGAAGTTGAATTCAATTCCCATCAGGGTGCGAATGCTTGGGCAAGTTTCCTTACTCCACACGCCTGATAATAAACCCTCCAGAAAGAAACTAATAGTAAATTGGTCACTTCAATCCACGGCTGTTTTGGGACGACGCTGTGTGCAATTGTGTTTCACCCACAAATATACAGTCAATTCACTTTACAATATATTCTGTGAAGCATTTTGAGATGTCTCAAAGATGTAAAGAGCGCGGCATCAAATGAAAGGTTTATTATATTATTTATAGGGCAAAACATTGGGCAAGTTTCCTTACTCCGTACGCCTCTGTTTACCTCGCAGTGTGTGGGGACCCAGTTGTTAGTCGACTGATGGATCGCTTTTCCGAGGGTAAAAATTCCTTCAAAAAATAATATTCATGAATTGGTCCCTGAATCCCCAACTGTTTGTGGGACACTGCTGTGTGCAATTGGTTGACATTTTATGGAGTGGTTATTACCTCCAGAAAGCGATCCGGCAATCAACTGACAAGTAGGTTCCCACTTACTGCAGGTCAGCAGAGCCATGTCTATGTGTGTTTCTATGAGTGGAGGAAGGACTATATGAGTTCCAAGTGCTGACGTGAGGCTTGAACCCACAACCTTCTGCCTTATAGAGAGCTGAGCCAGGCTGGAACAAGTAGGGATATACGTGGGCCAACTGCACTGTCCTGTTCAGCTCACGTTGATCTGGTTTTAACACCACAGCAAATATACTCACAAGTTATCACCAGCTTCACTGGTTTGCTGCTGTCACTGTTCACCGGGTTACTGGCCGTGCAGATAAACCCTCCACTGTCGTTCCTGTGTACGGGGCTGATTGTCAGAGTGCTATTAGCTGCAGACAGTGTGTAACGTGGGGTTACAGGTAACGGGTGTCCACCCAGTGCCCAGGAATAGGTGGGGAACAATCCCATCGTTGTACACCTCAATGTCGTTGTGTCTTTATTCTCGATAAATATCTCCTTGTCTGGACTCAGGCTGATGCTCACATTGGACAGCAGAGCTGTAAGATAAAGTGTTTCATTTCATCCGGATTTACTTTACTTAACACAAAGCTGTTCTGCTTCAGTTCAAGATCCTGGTCCTCACCTTGAATGTCCTCTACAACCTCACTCCTCTCTCCTTACCTCCGCTCCCTCTGCTCAGCGGGCTCCGGCCTGCTTCATGCCCCCCGCCCACCTGCCCCACCATCAGCGGTTGGGCCTTCAGCCTCTCTGCCCCAATCCACGACTGTTTGTGGGACACTGCTGTGTGCAATTGGCTGCAGAGTTTCGCCCACAAAATAGACCGGCAATTCACTTTACAGTATATCGTCCCAAAATACATCACTTTGCACTTCTCCACATTAAACTTCATCATGTCTGCCCATGTTACCAGTCTGTCTATGTCCTCTTGCAGTCTGTTACTCTCCTCCTCACTGTTTACTACTTTTCTTAGCTTAGTATCATGTGTGTGGCTCCTGATCACACACTAAACTCTGTACCCCCATCATCCCAGTCCTGCCCAGGCTCCAAACTTGGCAATTGTGCTCTCTATACCCAAGTCCAGGCCACCTTAAAGACCCATTTCAAGGCCTTCCTCTTCGACCGGCCATGCCTCCAGTCATCCTTCTATTCCAACCCTACCCGCCCTCCACCCCTCCTTATCCCAACCCCCACCTCGAGTGCGGATCCCTGACTATCCAGTGCCTTGGGACGTCGTCCTGATATGAAAGCCACTGTTGTTGTTTACACCATGACATTTTTGACTGAGATAACTAACTCACTGTACACGAGGATTGAAACCTTCTCCGTGCGGCTAATCGTGGTGTAATCATTCTTCACATTGCAAGTGTAATCCCCGCTGTTGTTGAACGTGAGGCTCTCTATAGGCAGCTGTGAGGTGTTGCCGGCAATGACTGTGGTGTTATGTTTCCACCTGTAGTTACACTCTGGGAAACATTTTGTCTGACAGTTGAGGGTCATCAAATCTTCCTCCTTCCCACAGTACTGTCCTGGGACCAAACTGTCACATATCACCTGCCCACTCACAATAAAGGTGAGTGGATCAGGGCCATCTGAAAGAAAAAGCATTAAACTATGACATAGATAGATAAATGGATGGCAGATGATAGTGTGAGAGAAACAGTCTTTTTACATGTATCACAGACCTCTGACTGTTTGTGGTTCGCTGCTGTGTGCAATTGGCTGCTGCGTTTTGCTCATAACATATACAGTCAATTCACTTTACAGTATATTCTGTGAAGCGTTTCAGTCGTCCAGAAGATGTGAAAAGCGCTGTATCAAATGCAAGGATTATTATATTATTGATAGAGCAAAACGTCGGCCAAGTTTCCCTACTCCCAAACACACCGTCTGTTTACTGAGCAGTAATTAGGAACCCGGTTATTAGTCGATTGGTGAGAATCAAACCAAAGTCCTCTCACTTGCGAGGTGAGGGCTCCAACCACTGCAGGACCCCACTGTTTGTTTCTCTATTCACAGCATCAAACCCCAATGTAGAATATTCCAGCATTGCATTGGCGCTTCAGTCTGGACTACATGAGTTCCAAGTACTAACGTGAGGCCACAACCTTCTGACTTATAGAGAGCTGAGCCAGGCTGGAACAAGTAGGGATATACGTGGGCCAACTGCACTGTCCTGTTCAGCTCACGTTGATCTGGTTTTAACACAACAGCAAATATACTCACAAGTTATCACCAGCTTCACTGGTTTACTGCTGTCACTGCCCACCAGGTGACTGGCCGTGCAGATAAACCCTCCACTGTCGCTCCTGTGTACGGGGCTGATTGTCAGAGTGCTATTATCTGCAGACAGTGTGTAACGTGGGGTTAGAGGTAACGGGTTTCCATCCAGTGCCCAGGAATAGGTGGGGAACGATCCCATCGCTGTACATCTTAGTGTCGCTGTATCTTTGTTCTCGATAAATATCTCCTTGTCTGGACTCAGACTGATGCTCACATTGGACACCGGAGCTGTAAGATAACGCATTTCATTTCATTCAGAAACTTGTTCCAATTCACTTCACTGTCACAAACCTGTTCAGAGTCACTTTGCTGAACCCTACACTTTATTTCTGACGCTGTTTGTTATGATTCACTGTTTATTCAGGTCTCAGTCTGGCTCATTTGGTAGCACAATTTTATGGTTTAAAGTCACACTCTGGGAGCTCACAGTCCAGGTTTATTGGCTTAATGAATGAGATGAAATGGGCCCTTTACTGCAGTCTATCAGGAAGGCAGAGCAAGTGTGTCTCTGCTCCTCTCTCTCTCCTCCTCTCTCCCCACCACCCACTCCCCAACCCCACTCTCTCATTCCCTCTCTCCCCTCTCACTCTTCCCGACCTTGCCCTCTCTTTCCCACTCTCTCCCCCTTCTATTTCCCCCTCTCCCTCCCCCTTCTCTCCCCCCCCTCCTCTCTCCCCTCTCCCTTCCCCTCTCTCCCCCTTATCTTTCATGCCTCCCTCTCTTCTCCCTCTCTCTCTCTCTCCCCTCTCTCTCTCCCAATCACTCTCTCCCAATCAGCAGTGGTAGGAGCCCAAGGACACAGTTGGTAAGAGACTCATTTGCCTTCCTGACAGACTGCAGTAAGGGCTCTGCTCGCTGGATTCTCCCAAACGCCGGCTCCTGCCACTGCCCTGTGAGGACATTCACCAGGGAGGGAGGGAGGGGTGGGGGAGAGGAAGTTGGAACATTGCAAATGGCCGCCAGCCGCACAAAATCACCAACGGGCAGCTGACAGCCCACGTACCGCCTCTTGGACCACAATGAGCTGAATGAATGAAATGAAATCGGTCCGGGGGGCCGGATGTGGCCCACGGGCCGCCAGTTGACCTTCCTGCTCTAACTAATACCCTACAGGACTCCACAGGGCTTCCGATCACAAGCACTAAATTCCGTACCCCCATCAACCTCGCCCTCCATTGGTAGATGGACCTTCAGGTGCTACGCCCCAAAACTCTGTCACTCTCTCCCGCAATCCCTCCGTCTCACCCTCTCGTTCCCCACCTCCAAATTCTATTTAATGACCTTCCTTTTTGATTGTGTTTACCGTCACCTCCCCCCTCCCTCTCCCACCGGCTCGGGGTCAGATTCTGCCCCTGTTAAGCGCTCCCGGACGCTACCCCACGTGAGGGATGTGGTGTAAATGCAAGTTGTTGTTGTTTACTCACTGTGAACACGCAGTTGTAAAGCTGCTGTGGCTGTTCCGTGGCTTAATTCAAACACAATCACTGAGTACGAACCGGAATCAGCCGGAGTCACTGTGTCCAGACGTAGAGTGGCATTGTTGGGGTAAAGCTCAGCCCGACCCTGGTAGTCTCCAAAGTACTTCACTGCTGTTCCCTGTGCTGATGCGATTGTGGAGCTGGTGTTGACTGTCCATGTTATAGTAAAACTTCCCTGTTCACTGGGCATTACCAGGAAGTACACAGATTGTCCGGCTGTGGCTTCTATGTGACTCTCAGTGACGGTCAGACTGAAAGCTCCCACCTGCTCTGTAACACATAACACACACAACAGTCAATCAATCACACTGTAATAATAATATTAATAATAATCCTGTAGCTCAATGGTTCGAGCACTCGCCTCACAAGCGAGAGGACCCGGGTTTGATCCCCGGGCGGAAGGGCGAAATGTTGGGCAGTTTCCTTACTTCACACACACACCTCTGTTTTCATCGCAGTAAGTAGGAACCCGGTTGTTAACCGATTAGAGGCTTTTTCGGGATAACAATTCCTTCAAAGAAATAATAAATTGATGACTCAAATCATGACTGTTCGTGGGCACTACAGTGCACACTGTATAAATGAATAATTATTAATATTATATTAATAGTCCTTGCATTTGATCACGTCTTATCACGTCTTTGAGACGTCTGAAAGCGCTTCACGGGGTGTACTGTAAAGTGAATTATTGTATATTTTGTGGGTGAACCCTTTCAGCCAATTGTACACAATAGCGACCCACACAGAGCTGTGGATTGAGTGACCAATTTTTTTATTTTGAAGGAATTATTATCCCCAGAGAAGCGATCCGCCAACCGACCAACAAGTGGTTCGTACTTATTGTTCGGTAAATAGAGGCGCGTGTGTGTGGAGTAAGGAAACTTGCCCAACCTCTCGCCCTGTGCCGCCCGGGAATCAAACCCAGGACTCTCACTTTCGAGGCGAGTGCTCCAACCACTGAGCTACAGGACTCCACAATTCAGAACAATTCTGTGGAAACACCGCCTCAGTGAGAGAGTGGGAAACGGGATCCCGAAGGAGACAGACGGCGGAAGCAGAAAATGTCATTTATTTCAAGATCAAATTGGATAGATTTCTGCAAGAAAATAATATCTCAGGATACAGTATATACACACACAGACACACAGACATAGACACAGAGAAAGGAGACACACAGACTCACACACACCAAGACACAGAGAGAGACAGAGACACACACACAGACAGAGAGACACACACACACACACACACACGTATATAGTTTGGGACACGATATGTGTAGCGACTGCCAGGATGGTGGGGGATGAACAAGATGGACCTTTGCTTATGTTGTTACCAGTAACTCACCCAAATTAGTGACCAGAATGAGCAGAGCAGCCACCAACATCCTCGCGGCTGGAAACCACCACATATACACGTTAGGGAGAGAGAAACAGAGACAAACTAAATATGGGCTGTCACCTGAACGCAGGGCAGAGTCTGCTGTTAATCATTACTGTTACTGTGGAGAGACCCTGACACTGGCTCTAATGGCACCCGGTGCACTTTCACTTTGTCAGGAATTAATATGTTAATTTATGAGATGAATAGTTTTACTTCCTGTAAGACACACTTTACGCCCTCACTATTTTTAATATTATTATAATAATAGTCCTTGCGTTTGACGCAGCGCCTTATCACGTTTTTGAGATGTCTCAAAGCACTTCACAGAATACACTGTGAATTGTAGTGACTGTGTGTTTGGTGCGCGATACGCGGCAGCTAATTGCGCACAGCAACGTTCCACAAACTATATGACCCAATAGTTAACTTTTCTTTTAATAATCCTGCATTTGATACGGTGCCTTATCACATCTTCGAGATGCCTCAAAGCGCTTCATAGGATACGCTGTAAAGTGGAGTGACTGTGTGTTTTGGCGGCTGAAACATGGCAGCCAATTGCACACAGTGACGTCTCCACAAACAGTTGTGGATTGAGTGACCACATTATTGTTATTTTTTGAAGTTATTATTACCCCCAGAAACGCATTCCGCCAATCGACTGACGACCGGGTTCCTCCTGACTGCTGGTAAACAGGGGTGTGAGTAAAAAGTGTGTGTGTGTGTGGGGTAAGGAAACTTGCTTAAGGTTTTGCCCTGACACACCTGGGAATCGAACCCAGATCCGTTCGCTTGCGAGGCGAGCGCTCTAACCCCTGAGCTACAGGGACTCCACAAGATACTCACTGAGACACAAGTTTAGTGTGTGTTTTGTGATGTGTTCAGTGACTGTTTAGGGATGTGTTCAGGGTCATGTTTCGTTACCCCATCACCCCCATCTTCGTTCGGCTCCACTGGCTCCCCATCACTGAGAGAGTACAGTTCAAGCTCCTGGTCCTCACCTTCGAAGCACTCCATGGCCTCACTCCCCCCCACCTCTGTGAACTCCTAACTAAGCCCCTACCAACCTGTCCACTCTCTCCACTCAGTAGGCTCCGGCCGGCTTCACATCTCCCACCGATTGGCTGTCGGGCCTTCAGCCTCTCCACCCCCTCCATCGCCTCCTTCAAGGCCAGTTTCAAGATCTTCCTCTTCGACCATCACACCTTTGGTCACCGTCCTACCTTCCCCCTCCCCGTCCTCTACCCTTCCTGATCCCAACCCCCATCCTGGGTATAAACCTCTGACTGTCCAGCGCCTTGGGACGTCCTCCTGACATGAACATAATAATCATTGCATTTGATATCGAGCCTTATCACGTTGTCGAGACATCTCATTCATAGAACACACTGTAGAGTGGAGTGACTGTGTATTTTGTAGCCAAAACACGGCAACCAATTATCATGTCATTGAAGTGGGGAGACGAGGGGACATTTACGCAGCGATTTGTTACGGTCTGGAACGCACTGCCGGAAAGGGAATTGGACAGGGACTTGAAAAGGAAAAATATGCAGAGATACGTGGTAGGAGCGGGGGAGTGGGACTGATTGGGCAGCTCTTTCAAAGAACCGGCACAGACACGATGGGCTGAATGGCTTCCGCCTGTGCTGTAAGATTCTGTGATTCCATAATAATAATAATAATAATCATTTGATATAGCGCCTTAACACGTCGAGATCTCAGAGCTCTTCACAGAATATACTGTGAAGTGAATTGACTGTATATTTGTGGGCGAAACGCGGCAGACAATTGCGCACAGCAGTGTCCTACAAACAGTCGTGGATCGAAGCAGCCAATATATTATTTTTTTGTAAGGATTATTACCCCCAGAAAAGTAATCCACAAGTCGACTAACAACCGTATTCTTACTTACTGCAGTGTAAACAGAGGCGTGTGCGTGTGAAATAAGGACATTATGCCCCGACCCGCCCAGGAATCAAACAAAGGTCCTCTCGCTTGTGAGGCGAGTGCTGTAACCACTGAGCTGCAGGACTCCAACGATAAAACCCCTGACAGGTAAACCACCCGGAGCTCAGTGAGCTGTGAGTTAGGAATGTCTGGAGTTAATCGCTGTACAGATCAAAGGTTTCAGTTGGTTTGAAGCACTAATTTCATGTGGAAGTGAAAGCCATTGTAAGATTAGCTCACTCATAAAGCTGGCTCGTGGCCTCAGATTCCTGTACCTTGTCCTGTACCAGCTGAGTGGGATAATAATGGTAATAACAACAATAATAATAATAATAATAATCCTTGCATTTGATATACGCTTTTCACGTCTTCTAGACGTCTCAAAGCGCTTCACAGAATAGTGAATTGACTACATTTGTAGGTGAAACACAGCAGCCAATTGTACACAGCAGTGTCCCACAAACAGTCGTGGATTGGAATGACCAATTTATTATTGTTTTTTTTGAGGGATTATTATCAGGGTGTGGAGTAAGGAAACTTGTCCAAGGCCTCGCCCGGCCAGGAATCGAACTCAGGTCTCTCACTAATAATAATAGTAATAATAGTAATTCTTGCAAAAAAGACAAATTGGTCACTTCAATCCGCAACTGTTTGTGGGGCACCTCTGTGCACGTGCAATTAATTGGCTGCTGACTAACAAGCGAGGTCCTACTTACTGCTTGGTAAACAGAGGCAAACGCGTGTGCGTGTGTATGTCTGTGTGTGCATGTCTGTGTGTGTATGTCTGTGTGTGCGTTTCTGTGAGTATGTGTGTGTGTGAGTCTGTGTCTGCGTATGTGTCTGTGTGTGTGTGTGTGGAGTAAGGAAACTTGCCCTACGTTTCACCCTGAATACTGAACTCCTGGTAAATAACATTAACTTCTCAGTGAGCCGATAAGTCACAACAACAACAACTTGTATTTACACAGCGCCCTTTATGAGGGTAGCGTCTCGGAGTGGTGGAGCCTGACGCAGAGCCAGTTGGAGGGGAGAGACAGGCAGAAGGTGACCGTGAGCATGGTCAAAGAGAAAGATTTTCAGTCTTGATCTAAAAGAGGGGGAAGGATAGGAGAGGGGAGGAAAGGGGGAAAGGCGGAGGGATCGGTGGAGAGAGCTCCAAAGTCTGACAATACGACCCCCATGATGGATCAGAGTGCACGAGGGACACGCAGGAGGCCGGAGACAGCCGAGAGGAGGCAGTGGGTAGTGGGTTGGGGGGGTCAGCAGGTCGGAGAGAGAGGTAGGGAGGTGCCAGAGCCTGAAGAGATTTGTAGATGATTGAAAGGATCTTGAAATCGATCTACGTTGTCACAGCTATCTACTTCCTGGTGCCATTACGACGTAAATTGTGATAAATATCTTTTTGGTGCTTTCCAAGGTCCTGAAACACAATGCAGATCGGACAGACCATTACTAACAACATTTTACACTGAACCTTTCACATCAGGAGGACGTCCCAAGGACCTGGACAGTCAGGGATTTGGATCTGAGCTGTGGGTTGGGATCAGGACGGGGTGGATGGTGGCGAGGTAGGGGTTAGGAAGGTGACCAGGTTGAAGAGGAAAGTCTTGTGACAGGCCTTGAAGGAGGTGAGGGAGTGATGGGGTGGGATGGAGGGACTGTGGGATGGAGTTCCAGAGGGTGGGGCAGAGTAACTGAAGGCCCAACCGATGGTGGGGCAGGTGAGGCGGGGGATGTGAAGCAGGCCGGAGCCCGCTGAGCAGAGAGAGCGGACAGGTTGTTAGGGGGTATGGGGAGCTGCAGAGTTAGTTCTGGATGATCTGCAGTTTGTAGAGGGAGGCGTTGGGGAGGCCGACAAGCAGGGAGGGGGCAAAGTCAAGCCTGTTTGTGGTGAACACATGGATGAGGGCCTCGGTGGCCTGCGGTGAGAGACAGTGGCGAAGCCGGGCAATATGGCGGAGGTGGGGAAGGCATATCAGGTCATGGCACGGATGAGGGGATGAAGGACAGTTTAGGGTCGTAAAGGACAGAGTTGGGACAGCAAGAGACTGAGCCGGGCTGACACACTGTCCGTGTCAGCCATTTGTTTCCTCACCATGTAAGGGCCTGAATCCTTCTGGGAGACATTGGCAGAGGAAGCCTAAAATATAACCAAACACAGTTTAGCTATTCATTAGCAATGTCGTTAGCAGTAAATAATAATAACCATTGCATTTCATACAGTGCCTTATCACGTCTTCATAACATCTCAAAGCGCTTCACAGGATACAACAACAACAACAACAAGATTCCATTTATAAAGCGCCTTTCACGTCAGGAGGACGTCCCAAGCGCTGCACAGTTGGGTCATGACCCGAGCAGGGGGGAAATGGTCAGGGTAAGGGGAGGGAAGGGAGGGAGCGAGGAGGGGGAAGAGAGTCGAGAGGGGAGCTGAAGGCTCGGTCAAAGAGAAAGGTTTTGAGACCGGCCTTGAAGGAGGAAAGGGAGGAAGCGGCGAAGGCACTGGGGGATAGAGTTCCAGAGCCTGGGGGCTGAGAGGCTGAAGGCCCGACCACCGATGGTAGGGCGATTGGGGCGGGGGACGTGGAGCAGACCGGAGCCAGAGGAACGGAGGGTACGGGCAGGTAGGTAGGGGGATAGTAGGTCGGAGAGGTAGGAGGGAGCGAGGCCGTGAATGGCCTTGTAGGTGAGGATGAGGATCTTGAAATCTTGATACACGGTAAAGAGTAGTGACTGTGTGGTTTCAAAAATAATAATAATCGTTGCATTTGATACAGTGCCTTATCACGTCTTTGAGTCGTATCAAAGGGGAGTCAATTGCCTAAGGTTTTGCCCTGTCCGGGAAACAAAACCGGATCCTCTCGCTTGAGAGGCGAGGGCTCTAACCACTGAGCGACAGGACTGCACAGCACTTACTCTGACATCAATGGTCTCGTAGTATGGTTCACCCTCTGTCTCTTGCTGTGTTTTGGCTGGAAAATAAACAACAACTTGTTTATTCAAAGGCACAGCCTCTGATGGTGGGATGGAGGGAACGAGGGACAAATAGGAGGCCGGTGTGGGGGCGGTGGGGGGTGAGCAGGTCGGAGAGGTAGGGAGGTGCCAGGGCATGAAGGGGTTTGAAAACGAGTGAGAGGATCTTGAAATCGTAGAAAATCTTGAAAATATACAAGAGTTTGTACATTTGCTGAACCGGTGAACTTGGAGAGAAACGGAGAAGGAGGCACTGATAGAGAGACAGAGAGAGAGAGAAAGAGAGAGAGAGAGAGATTGGTAGTGAGAGATAGGGTTAAAGCCTGACAGAAAGACAAAGAGGGAGCGATTGAAAGAGAGAGGGGGAGATGGATGGATAGAGACTGATAGAGAGTGAGATGGAGGGTGATAGAGAGACAGGGGTAGAGGCTGATAGAAAGGAGAGGGTGAAATGGAGTGGGAGAGACTGATAGAGAGAGAGAGAAAGATGGAGGGGGAGAGACTGATGGAGGAAGAGTGAGACGGAGAGGGTAGAGACTGATTGAGTTTGTGATGGAGGTGGATAGAGACTAATAGAGGGAGTGTGAGACAGAGGGGAAGAGACTGACAGAGTGAGATAAAGAGGGAGAGACTGAAAGTGAGAGAGAGTGAGACGGAGGAGGAGTGATTGATAGCGAGAGGGGGAGATGGATGGATAGAGACTGACAGAGAGTGAGATGGAGGGTGATAGAGAGAGAGGGGTAGAAACTGATAGAAAAGAGTGGGTGAAATGGAGAGGGAGAGACTGAGAGTGATGGAGGGTGACAGAGAGAAGGGGTAGAGACTGATAGAAAAGAGAGGGTGAAATGGAGGGGGAGAGGCTGATAGAGAGAGAGAGACAAAGTGGGAGAGACTGATAGTGAAAGAGAGTGAGATGGAGGGGCTAGAGACAGATAGAGAGAGACGGAGGGGTAGAGACTGGCAGAGAGAGAGGACAGTGAGAGGGTGAGTGGCTGAGGGGGTCTGGACTGGTATATAAACAACAGAACATGAAGGTGAAAGGTTTTCCTGTGTATATACGGCCTCACCTTCCTTACGTTTCCTGTAAACGTACACCACAGCGAGTGTTGCAATGACCACCACAGCCACAGCCCCCACTATTGTCCCCACTATCAGGGCCACATTCACTGCGGAGAGAAACACCTTCACTGTCTCTCTATTAGATTATACTCTCGTAACATAGAGACCACAGCACAGACCTCATGTAAATCATAGCAATCCTCGCATTTGATACAGCGCCTTATCACGTTGTTGTAAAGTGTAGTAACTGTGTATTTTGTGGGCGGAACACAGCAGCCAATTGCGCACAGCGGTGACCCACAAACAGTCGTGGATTGATTGACCAGATTTTTTGTTTTTTTGGAGGGATTATGACCCCCAGAAAGTGAACCGTCAATTGACTAACAGCGGGTTCCTACCTACTGCTGATAAACAGAGGTGCACATCTGTGTGTGTATGTGTGTCTATGTGTGTCTGCGTGTGTGTGTGTGTGTGTGTGTGTGTGTGTGTGTCTGTGGGTGTGTGTCTGTGTGTGTGTCAAAATATCATAACTTACCTCCGCCTTTCAAAGTCACGTCAAATTGGAAGAAGTTCTCTCCCATTGCGTTAGTGACACGGCATTGATATGTGCCCTGATCGGTTGCCTGGAATTTACTGATGAGCAGTTTAGAGAAGGTTAGTCCTGAGGTGATGATGAACTTGCCGTCAGAGCCAGTGATGGAGTTGTCTTCCTTCGACCATGTAAAGTGTGCGGGCAGCAGGCCAGGGTCTGACACCCGCACTGTGTCTGTCAGTGACACGTCTAAGGTCACATCTGCCTCCTTCCCCACTTCCACCTGAGGCTCAGACCCTGACGCTCTCTGGGGTTTATCTGTGTAACAGCACAGACAGTGTTCAGCAAAACAGCAACACAGTCACCCCAACAGTCAGTAGGAATAATAATAATCCTCCTGTTTGATACAGCGCCTTATCACGCCATCGAGACATCTTAAATCCCATCTAAAGACCTTCCTCTTCGACCAACCGCACATTCAGCCACCCTCCCACCCCAAAACCCACCCCCCCCTGCCCTCCACCCCTCCTGACCCCAACTCCCAGCTCAGGTCCAAAAACCCTGACTGTGCAGCGTCCCGGGATGTGTTTGCGACGTGAAGGGCGCTATACAAGTGTAATTTGTCATCGTTGTTGCTGTTCAGCCCTCAAGTCCTCACCAATAACTATAGAGCATTGACTGTCAGAGACAACATGGCGTCCAACACATGTGAAGATCTCTCGGGAGCTGAGCTGATCCTTTGTGATGGTGACATTCCCCTCGTTTGTCGCATTGACAATCGTCTGTCCGACCTTCAGCTGAAGGACAGAGTCTGGCACCCCACCAGCCCAGGAGCACATCAACACCAATGCTGTTCCTTTATCTGCTGCTCCGCATGTGATCTGCTGTGTGGGAGCCCCTTGAACAAGGCAAAGACAAACAGTCCAGTTATTGGCTCCACCTTGAGTTGTCCCCACCCTCGCCCGGCTCCACTGGCTCCCCATCCCTCAGAGGATACTGTTCAAGATCCTGGTGCTCAGCTTTAAAGCCCTCCATGGCCTCACTCCTCCCTCCCTACCTCTGTGACCTCCTAATCCCTGACCAACCGGTCCGCTCCCTCTGCTTAGCGGGCTCCGGCCTGCTCCATGTTCCCCGCCCGCCCATCCCCTTCAGCCTCTCTGACCCACCCTCTGAAACTCCCACAATCCCTCTGCCATGCCTCCCTCACCTCCTTCGAAACCTATCTCAAGATCCTCCTCTTCGACAGACCGTGCCTTCGGTCACCCTCCTACACCCATCTCCCTGCCCTCCAACCCTCCTGATAGCAACCTCCAGCTCAGATGTGGGTCCCTGACTGTCCAGCGCCTTGAGACATCCTCCTGACGTGAAAGCCACTGTGTAAATGCCATGTGTTGTTATTTAGACAGTGCCAATTTTGACTGAGATCTAACTCACTGTACACGAGGATTGAAACCTTCTCCGTGTGGCTAATCGTGGTGTAATCATTCTTCACATTGCAAGTGTAATCCCCGCTGTTGTTGAACGTGAGGCTCTCTATAGGCAGCTGTGAGGTGTTGCCGGCAATGACTGTGGTGTTATGTGTCCACCTGTAGTTACACTCTGGGAAACATTTCGTCTGACAGTTGAGCGTCACTAAATCTCCCTCCTTCCCACAGTACTGTCCTGGGACCAAACTGTCACATATCACTTGCCCACTCATATATACTGTGGGTGGATCAGGGCCATCTGAAAGAAAAACATTAAGTGATGACATAGATAGATAAATGGGTGGCAGATGATAGTGTGAGAGAAACAGCCTTTTTACATGTATCACAGACCTCCGACTGTTTGTGGGTCCCTCCTGTGCGCAATTGGCTGCCGTCCCCCGACCCACCCACCCCACCATTGGCGGGAGAGACTTCAGCCACTCTGCCCCAACCTCTGGAATCCTATCCCCCAGTCATTCCGCTTCACGCCCTCCTTAGCCTCCTTCAAGTCACGCCTCAAGACCCTCCTCTTCGACCATGCCATCGGCCATCCCCCTTCCCCGCCCCTCCCTTCTCCCCCCGTGACTCCAGCTCGGGTCTGAAATGCTGTCACTGTCCAGTGCCTTGGGACATCCTCCCGATGTGAAACACGCTATACAAATGTAATCCTGTTGTTGTTGTTGTGTTTCATCCATAAAATATACAGTCAATTCACTTTACAGTATATTCTGTGAAGTGATTTGAGACGTGAGGAGGTGTTTTTTTTGGAGGGGTTAATACATTCGGAAAAGTGATCTGGCAATCGACTAACAAGGGTTCCCGCTTACTGTTAGGTAAACAACAAAATACAACAACAATAATATTACATTTATAGGGCGTCCTTAACGTCGGGAGGACGTCCCAAGACATTGGCGCTGCTAAACAGTGGGGTGTATGTGTGTGGGGGGTGGGGGTGGGGGCGAGTGTTGGGTGGAGTAATGTACCTGCCTAAGCTTTCGTCCTGACCTGCGCGGGAATCAAACCCAGGTCCTCTCGCTTGATAAGGCGATATATCAAGTGCAAGAATGATTATTATTCTGATGATCATGACTATGATCATTATTATTGTTATTATCTTTACTGTTATTGCAGCTCAGGTCACGTGAGGCTGACTTTGGGTCATGGAGTTTAAAGCGAGTCGGGGTTCCTGCTCCTGGTCCCTAAACTCCCTCTCGGGCTCAAGTGTGGGTGTTGCAGTCTGGTGGGGAGATTAGGTTTGTCTGTGGGGCCCTCTACAGTCAAGTGGCCGATTGACACTCAGATAGTGATGGGATCTTTAACCTGAACAGGCAGATAGTTTAACGTCTCATCCAAACAGCGGCTCTTCAATGATAATAACAATAGTGGAGTCCTGTTGCTCAGTGGTTAGAGCATTTGCCTCGTAAGTGAACTTGAGTTCAATTCCCATCAGGGTGCGAATGCTTGGGCAAGTTTCCTTACTCCACACGCCTGATAATAACCCCTCCAGAAAGAAACTAATAGTAAATTGGGCACTTCAATCCACGGCTGTTTTGGGACGACGCTGTGTGCAATTGTGTTTCACCCACAAATATACAGTCAATTCACTTTACAATATATTCTGTGAAGCATTTTGAGTTGTCTCAAAGACGTAAAGAGCGCGGCATCAAATGAAAGGTTTATTATATTATTTATAGGGCAAAACATTGGGCAAGTTTCCTTACTCCGCACGCCTCTGTTTACCTCGCAGTGTGTGGGGACCCAGTTGTTAGTCGACTGATGGATCGCTTTTCCGAGGGTAAAAATTCCTTCAAAAAATAATATTAATGAATTGGTCCCTGAATCCCCAACTGTTTGTGGGACACTGCTGTGTGCAATTGGTTGACATTTTATGGAGTGGTTATTACCTCCAGAAAGTGATCCGGCAATGAACTGACAAGTAGGTTCCCACTTACTGCAGGTCAGCAGAGCCATGTCTATGTGTGTTTCTATGAGTGGAGGAAGGACTATATGAGTTCCAAGTACTGACGTGAGGCTTGAACCCACAACCTTCTGACTTATAGAGAGCTGAGCCAGGCTGGAACAAGTAGGGATATACGTGGGCCAACTGCACTGTCCTGTTCAGCTCACGTTGATCTGGTTTTAACACCACAGCAAATATACTCACAAGTTATCACCAGCTTCACTGGTTTGCTGCTGTCACTGTTCACCGGGTTACTGGCCGCGCAGATAAACCCTCCACTGTCGTTCCTGTGTACGGGGCTGATTGTCAGAGTGCTATTAGCTGCAGACAGTGTGTAACGTGGGGTTACAGGTAACGGGTGTCCATCCAGTGCCCAGGAATAGGTGGGGAACAATCCCATCGCTGTACACCTCAATGTCGTTGTGTCTTTATTCTCGATAAATATCTCCTTGTCTGGACTCAGGCTGATGCTTACATTGGACAGCAGAGCTGTAAGATAAAGTGTTTCATTTCATCCGGATTTACTTTACTTAACACAAAGCTGTTCTGCTTCAGTTCAAGATCCTGGTCCTCACCTTCAATGTCCTCTACAACCTCACTCCTCTTTCCTTACCTCCGCTCCCTCTGCTCAGCGGGCTCCGGCCTGCTTCATGCCCCCCGCCCACCTGCCCCACCATCAGCGGTTGGGCCTTCAGCCTCTCTGCCCCAATCCACGACTGTTTGTGGGACACTGCTGTGTGCAATTGGCTGCAGAGTTTCGCCCACAAAATAGACCGGCAATTCACTTTACAGTATATCGTCCCAAAATACATCACTTTGCACTTCTCCACATTAAACTTCATCATGTCTGCCCATGTTACCAGTCTGTCTATGTCCTCTTGCAGTCTGTTACTCTCCTCCTCACTGTTTACTACTTTTCTTAGCTTAGTATCATGTGTGTGGCTCCTGATCACACACTAAACTCTGTACCCCCATCACCCCAGTCCTGCCCAGGCTCCAAACTTGGCAATTGTGCTCTCTATACCCAAGTCCAGGCCACCTTAAAGACCCATTTCAAGGCCTTCCTCTTCGACCGGCCATGCCTCCAGTCATCCTTCTATTCCAACCCTACCCGCCCTCCACCCCTCCTTATCCCAACCCCCACCTCGAGTGCGGATCCCTGACTATCCAGTGCCTTGGGACGTCGTCCTGATATGAAAGCCACTGTTGTTGTTTACACCATGACATTTTTGACTGAGATAACTAACTCACTGTACACGAGGATTGAAACCTTCTCCGTGCGGCTAATCGTGGTGTAATCATTCTTCACATTGCAAGTGTAATCCCCGCTGTTGTTGAACGTGAGGCTCTCTATAGGCAGCTGTGAGGTGTTGCCGGCAATGACTGTGGTGTTATGTGTCCACCTGTAGTTACACTCTGGGAAACATTTCGTCTGACAGTTGAGGGTCATCAAATCTCCCTCCTTCCCACAGTACTGTCCTGGGACCAAACTGTCACATATCACCTGCCCACTCACAATAAAGGTGAGTGGATCAGGGCCATCTGAAAGAAAAAGCATTAAACTATGGCATAGATAGATAAATGGATGGCAGATGATAGTGTGAGAGAAACAGTCTTTTTACATGTATCACAGACCTCTGACTGTTTGTGGGTCGCTGCTGTGTGCAATTGGCTGCTGCGTTTTGCTCATAACATATAGTCAATTCACTTTACAGTGTATTCTGTGAAGCGTTTCAGTCGTCCAGAAGACGTGAAAAGCGCTGTATCAAATGCAAGGATTATTATATTATTGATAGAGAAAAACGTCGGCCAAGTTTCCCTACTCCCAAACACACCGTCTGTTTACTGAGCAGTAATTAGGAACCCGGTTATTAGTCGATTGGTGGGAATCAAACCAAAGTGCTCTCACTTGCGAGGTGAGGGCTCCAACCACGACAGGACCCCACTGTTTGTTTCTCTATTCACAGCATCAAACCCCAATGTAGAATATTCCAGCATTGCATTGGCGCTTCAGTCTGGACTACATGAGTTCCAAGTACTGACGTGAGGCCACAACCTTCTGACTTATAGAGAGCTGAGCCAGGCTGGAACAAGTAGGGATATACGTGGGCCAACTGCACTGTCCTGTTCAGCTCACGTTGATCTGGTTTTAACACAACAGAGCAAATATACTCACAAGTTATCACCAGCTTCACTGGTTTACTGCTGTCACTGCCCACCAGGTAACTGGCCGTGCAAATAAACCCTCCACTGTCGCTCCTGTGTACGGGGCTGATTGTCAGAGTGCTATTATCTGCAGACAGTGTGTAACGTGGGGTTAGAGGTAACGGGTTTCCATCCAGTGCCCAGGAATAGGTGGGGAACGATCCCATCGCTGTACATCTCAGTGTCACTGTGTCTTCATTCTCGATAAATATCTCCTTGTCTGGACTCAGGCTGATGCTCACATTGGACACCAGGGCTGTAAGATAACGCATTTCATTTCATTCAGAAACTTGTTCCAATTCACTTCACTGACACAGATCTGTTCAGAGTCACTTTGCTGAACCCTACACTTTATTTCTGACGCTGTTTGTTATGATTCACTGTTTATTCAGGTCTCAGTCTGGCTCATTTGGTAGCACAATTTTATGGTTTAAAGTCACACTCTGGGAGCTCACAGTCCAGGTTTATTGGCTTAATGAATGAGATGAAATGGGCCCTTTACTGCAGTCTATCAGGAAGGCAGAGCAAGTGTGTCTCTGCTCCTCTCTCTCTCCTCCTCTCTCCCCACCACCCACTCCCCAACCCCACTCTCTCATTCCCTCTCTCCCCTCTCACTCTTCCCGACCTTGCCCTCTCTTTCCCACTCTTTCCCCCTTCTCTTTCCCCTTCTCTCCCTTCCTCTCTCCCCTCTCCCTTCCCCTCTCTCCCCCTTATCTTTCATGCCTCCCTCTCTTCTCCCTCTCTCTCTCCCCTCTCTCTCTCCCAATCACTCTCTCCCAATCAGCAGTGGTAGGAGCCCAAGGACACAGTTGGTAAGAGACTCATTTGCCTTCCTGACAGACTGCAGTAAGGGCTCTGCTCGCTGGATTCTCCCAAACGCCGGCTCCTGCCACTGCCCTGTGAGGACGTTCCCCAGGGAGGGAGGGAGGGGTGGGGGAGAGGAAGTTGGAACATTGCAAATGGTCGCCGGCCGCACAAAATCACCAACGGGCAGCTGACAGCCCATGTACCGCCTGTTGGACCACACTGAGCTGAATGAATGAAATGAAATCGGTCCGGGGGCCATCACACCCTCCTGTTTGCCCCTCGGCCCCTTCCGCTCCATCATCGGTGGCTGTATTTTCAGCTGTTACGCCCTGAAAGTCTGTCACTCTCTCCCTGTCAATCCCTCCGTCTCCCCCTCTCGTTCCCCACCTTCAAATCCCACCTAATATCCTTCCTTTTTGATTGTGTTTACCGTCACCTCCCCCCTCCCTCTCCCACCGGCTCGGGGTCAGATTCTGCCCCTATCAAGTGCTCTCGGACGCTACCCCACGTGAGGGATGTGGTGTAAATGTAAGTTGTTGTTGTTGTTTACTCACTGTGAACACGCAGTTGTAAAGCTGCTGAGGCTGATCCGTGGTTTAATTCAAACACAGTCACTGAGTACGAACCGGAATCAGCCGGAGTCACTGTGTCCAGACGTAGAGTGGCATTGTTGGGGTAAAGCTCAGCCCGACCCTGGTAGTCTCCATAGTACTTCACTGTTGTTCCCTGTGCTGCTGCGATTGTGGAGCTGGTGTTGACTGTCCATGTTATAGTAAAACTTCCCTGTTCACTGGGCATTACCAGGAAGTACACAGATTGTCCGGCTGTGGCTTCTATGTGACTCTCAGTGACGGTCAGACTGAAAGCTCCCACCTGCTCTGTAACACACAACACACACAACAGTCAATCTCCAGGAAATCTCACAATATAAAAATAATAATATTAATAATAATCCTGCAGTTATTGTTCAAGCACTCGTCTCGCAAGTGAGGAGACCCAGATTTGATCCCCGGGCGGAAGGGCGAAACGTTGGGCAGTTTCCTTACTTCACACACACGCCTCTGTTTGCTTCGCAGTAAGTAGGAACCCGGTTGTTAACCGATTAGAGGCTTTATCGGGATAACAATTCCTTCAAAAAAGTAATAAATTGATGACTCAAACCATGACTGTTTGCGGGCACTACAGTGCACACTGTATAAATGGAATGATTATTAATAGTATAATAATAATCTTTGCATTTCATATAGTGCCTTATCACGTCTTTGAGACGTCTGAAAGCGCTTCACGGGGTGTAATGTAAATTGAATTATTGTATATTTTGTGGGTGAACCCTTTCAGCCAATTGTACACAATAGTGTCCCACACAGAGCTGTGGATTGAGTGACCAATTTTTTTTATTTTGAAGGAATTATTATCCCCAGAGAAGCGATCCGCCAACCGACCAACAAGTGGTTCCTACTTATTGTTCGGTAAATAGAGGCGCGTGTGTGTGGAGTAAGGAAACTTGCCCAACCTCTCGCCCTGTGCCGCCCGGGAATCAAACCCAGGACTCTCACTTGCGAGGCGAGTGCTCCAACCACTGAGCTACAGGACTCCACAATTCAGAACAATTCTGTGGAAACACGACCTCAGTGAGAGAGTGGGAAACGGGATCCCGAAGGAGACAGACGGCGGAAGCAGAAAATGTCATTTATTTCAAGATCAAATTGGATAGATTTCTGCAAGAAAATAATATCTCAGGATACAGTATATAGACACACACACACAGACACACAGTATATAGTTTGGGACACGACATGTGTAGCGACTGCCAGGACGGTGGGAGATGAACGAGATGGACCTTTGCTTATGTTGTTACCAGTAACTCACCCAAATTAGTGACCAGAATGAGCAGAGCAGCCACCAACATCCTCGCGGCTGGAAACCACCACATATACACGTTAGGGAGAGAGACAGAGACAAACTGGATATGGGCTGTCACCTGAACGCAGGGCAGAGTCTGCTGTTAATCATTACTGTTACTGTAGGGAGACCCTGACACTGGCTCTAATGGCACCCGGTGGACTTTCACTTTGTCAGGAATAAATATGTTAATTTATGAGATGAATAGTTTTACTTCCTGTAAGACACACTTTACACCCTCACTATTTTTAATATTATTATAATAATAGTCCTTGCGTTTGACGCAGCGCCTTATCACATTTTTGAGATGTCTCAAAGCACTTCACAGAATACACTGTGAATTGTAGTGACTGTGTGTTTGGTGGGCGAAACGCAGCAGCTAATTGCGCACAGCAATGTTCCACAAACTATATGACCCAATAGTTAACTTTTTTTTTAATAATCCTGCATTTGATACGGTGCCTTATCACATCTTCGAGATGCCTCAAAGCGCTTCATAGGATACGCTGTAAAGTGGAGTGACTGTGTGTTTTGGCGGCTGAAACATGGCAGCCAATTGCACACAGCGACGTCTCCACAAACAGTTGTGGATTGAGTGACCACATTATTGTTATTTTTTTGAAGTTATTATTACCCCCAGAAACGCATTCCGCCAATCAACTGACGACCGGGTTCCTACTGACTGCTGGTAAACAGGGGTGTGAGTAAAAAGTGTGTGTGTGGAGTAAGGAAACTTGCTTAAGGGTTTGCCCTGACACACCTGGGAATCGAACCCAGATCCGTTCGCTTGCGAGGCGAGCGCTCTAACCCCTGAGCTACAGGGACTCCACAAGATACTCACTGAGACACAAGTTTAGTGTGTGTTTTGTGATGTGTTCAGTGACTGTTTAGGGATGTGTTCAGGGTCATGTTTCGTTACCCCATCACCCCCATCTTCGCCCGGCTCCACTGGCTCCCCATCACTGAGAGAGTACAGTTCAAGCTCCTGGTCCTCACCTTCGAAGCACTCCATGGCCTCACTCCCCCCCACCTCTGTGAACTCCTAACTCACCCCCTACCAACCTGTCCACTCTCTCCACTCAGTAGGCTCCGGCCGGCTTCACATCCCCCACCCGCCTCCCCCACCATTGGCTGTCGGGCCTTCAGCCTCTCCGCCCCCTCCCTCGCCTCCTTCAAGGCCAGTTTCAAGATCTTCCTCTTCGACCATCACACCTTTGGTCACCGTCCTACCTTCCTCCTCCCCGTCCTCTACCCTTCCTGATCCCAACCCCCATCCTGGGTATAAACCTCTGACTGTCCAGCGCCTTGGGACGTCCTCCTGACATGAATATAATAATCATTGGATTTGATATCGAGCCTTATCATGTCGTCGTGACATCTCATTCATAGAACAGACTGTAGAGTGGAGTGACTGTGTATTTTGTAGCCAAAACACGGCAACCAATTATCATGTCATTGAAGTGGCTCAAAGAGCTTAGCAGGATATGCTACTGTAAAGTGTAGTGACTGTGTGTTCAGTGACTGTGTAGTGACTGTCAGGGATAGTGTGCACCCCACCACACTCCTAACCTCTGACACAAGATGGAATTATTGCGGTCAAACCAAAGGATTTTTATTACCAGAAGAAGATAACAAGAGAGAAATGTGGAGAGACGAGAGAAGCTGAGATTGTTCTCCTTAGAGCAAGAGGAGGATAGGGGAGATCTAATATAGGTGTTCAAAATGATGAGGGGTTTTGATAGAGTAAATAGGGAGAAACTGTTTCCACTGGTGTGTGGGTCAGTAACGGGAGAACATAAATTTAATATAATTGGGAAAAGAACCAGAGGGGAGACGAGGGGACATTTACGCAGCGATTTGTTACGGTCTGGAACGCACTGCCGGAAAGGGAATTGGACAGGGACTTGAAAAGGAAAAATATGCAGAGATACGGGGTAGGAGCGGGGGAGTGGGACTGATTGGGCAGCTCTTTCAAAGAACCGGCACAGACACGATGGGCTGAATGGCTTCCGCCTGTGCTGTAAGATTCTGTGATTCCATAATCATAATAATAATAATCATTTGATATAGCGCCTTAACACGTCGAGATCTCAGAGCTCTTCACAGAGTACACTGTAAAGTGAATTGACTGTATATTTGTGGGCGAAACGCGGCAGACAATTGCGCACAGCAGTGTCCTACAAACAGTCGTGGATCGAAATAGCCAATATATTATTTTTTGTAAGGAATATTACCCCAGAAAAGTAATCCACCAGTCGACTAACAACCGTATTCTTACTTACTGCAGTGTAAACAGAGGCGTGTGCGTGTGAAATAAGGACATTATGCCCCGACCCGCCCAGGAATCAAACAAAGGTCCTCTCGCTTGTGAGGCGAGTGCTGTAACCACTGAGCTGCAGGACTCCAACGATAAAACCCCTGACAGTTAACCACCCGGAGCTCAGTGACCTGTTAGTTAGGAATGTCTGGAGTTAATTGCTGTACAGCTCAAAGGTTTCAGTTGGTTTGAAGCAGTGATTTCATGTGGAAGTGAAAGCCATTGTAAGATTAGCTCACTCATAAAGCTGGCTCGTGGCCTCAGATTCCTGTACCTTGTCCTGTACCAGCTGACTGGGATAATAATGGTAATAACAACAATAATAATAATAATAATAATCCTTGCATTTGATATACGCTTTTCACGTCTTCTAGACGTCTCAAAGCGCTTCACAGAATAGTGAATTGACTACATTTGTAGGTGAAACACAGCAGCCAATTGTACACAGCAGTGTCCCACAAACAGTCGTGGATTGGAATGACCAATTTATTATTGTTTTTTTTGAGGGATTATTATCAGGGTGTGGAGTAAGGAAACTTGTCCAAGGCCTCGCCCGGCCAGGAATCGAACTCAGGTCTCTCACTAATAATAATAGTAATAATAGTAATTCTTGCAAAAAAGACAAATTGGTCACTTCAATCCGCAACTGTTTGTGGGGCACCTCTGTGCACGTGCAATTAATTGGCTGCTGACTAACAAGCGAGGTCCTACTTACTGCTTGGTAAACAGAGGCAAACGCGTGTGCGTGTGTATGTCTGTGTGTGCATGTCTGTGTGTGTATGTCTGTGTGTGCGTTTCTGTGAGTATGTGTGTGTGTGAGTCTGTGTCTGCGTATGTGTCTGTGTGTGTGTGTGTGGAGTAAGGAAACTTGCCCTACGTTTCACCCTGAATACTGAACTCCTGGTAAATAACATTAACTTCTCAGTGAGCCGATAAGTCACAACAACAACAACTTGTATTTACACAGCGCCCTTTATGAGGGTAGCGTCTCGGAGTGGTGGAGCCTGACGCAGAGCCAGTTGGAGGGGAGAGACAGGCAGAAGGTGACCGTGAGCATGGTCAAAGAGAAAGATTTTCAGTCTTGATCTAAAAGAGGGGGAAGGATAGGAGAGGGGAGGAAAGGGGGAAAGGCGGAGGATCGGTGGAGAGAGCTCCAAAGTCTGACAATACGACCCCCCATGATGGATCAGAGGGCACGAGGGACACGCAGGAGGCCGGAGGCAGCCGAGAGGAGGCAGTGGGTAGTGGGTTGGGGGGGTCAGCAGGTCGGAGAGAGAGGTAGGGAGGTGCCAGAGCCTGAAGAGATTTGTAGATGATTGAAAGGATCTTGAAATCGATCTACGTTGTCACAGCTATCTACTTCCTGGTGCCATTACGACGTAAATTGTGATAAATATCTTTTTGGTGCTTTCCAAGGTCCTGAAACACAATGCAGATCGGACAGACCATTACTAACAACATTTTACACTGAACCTTTCACATCAGGAGGACGTCCCAAGGACCTGGACAGTCAGGGATTTGGATCTGAGCTGTGGGTTGGGATCAGGACGGGGTGGATGGTGGCGAGGTAGGGGTTAGGAAGGTGACCAGGTTGAAGAGGAAAGTCTTGTGACAGGCCTTGAAGGAGGTGAGGGAGTGATGGGGTGGGATGGAGGGACTGTGGGATGGAGTTCCAGAGGGTGGGGCAGAGTAACTGAAGGCCCAACCGATGGTGGGGCAGGTGAGGCGGGGGATGTGAAGCAGGCCGGAGCCCGCTGAGCAGAGAGAGCGGACAGGTTGTTAGGGGGTATGGGGAGCTGCAGAGTTAGTTCTGGATGATCTGCAGTTTGTAGAGGGAGGCGTTGGGGAGGCCGACAAGCAGGGAGGGGGCAAAGTCAAGCCTGTTTGTGGTGAACACATGGATGAGGGCCTCGGTGGCCTGCGGTGAGAGACAGTGGCGAAGCCGGGCAATATGGCGGAGGTGGGGAAGGCATATCAGGTCATGGCACGGATGAGGGGATGAAGGACAGTTTAGGGTCGTAAAGGACAGAGTTGGGACAGCAAGAGACTGAGCCGGGCTGACACACTGTCCGTGTCAGCCATTTGTTTCCTCACCATGTAAGGGCCTGAATCCTTCTGGGAGACATTGGCAGAGGAAGCCTAAAATATAACCAAACACAGTTTAGCTATTCATTAGCAATGTCGTTAGCAGTAAATAATAATAACCATTGCATTTCATACAGTGCCTTATCACGTCTTCATAACATCTCAAAGCGCTTCACAGGATACAACAACAACAACAACAAGATTCCATTTATAAAGCGCCTTTCACGTCAGGAGGACGTCCCAAGCGCTGCACAGTTGGGTCATGACCCGAGCAGGGGGGAAATGGTCAGGGTAAGGGGAGGGAAGGGAGGGAGCGAGGAGGGGGAAGAGAGTCGAGAGGGGAGCTGAAGGCTCGGTCAAAGAGAAAGGTTTTGAGACCGGCCTTGAAGGAGGAAAGGGAGGAAGCGGCGAAGGCACTGGGGGATAGAGTTCCAGAGCCTGGGGCTGAGAGGCTGAAGGCCCGACCACCGATGGTAGGGCGATTGGGGCGGGGGACGTGGAGCAGACCGGAGCCAGAGGAACGGAGGGTACGGGCAGGTAGGTAGGGGGATAGTAGGTTGGAGAGGTAGGAGGGAGCAAGGCCGTGAATGGCCTTGTAGGTGAGGATGAGGATCTTGAAATCTTGATACACGGTAAAGAGTAGTGACTGTGTGGT